AATAAATATCAACAAGTTCTGCCACAAATCGAGCTAAAGGCCGCACTTGCTGATCATCTCTTGCCATTTCTTCGCTTCGAGACCTCTTTAATGGGTTTACATAATCCGATTCATAGTCGTCAAACATCACTACAAAATCAAAAATAAAATATCAGCAATAAAAAGTCAGAAGAGCATAAAAAAAAAAAAAAAAAAAAAAAAAAAAAAAAATATATATATATATCCCGTTTTGACCAACTTTTTTTTTTTTTTTTTTTAATCTCTCCGTTTCTGTCCTGTCCTTTGGTTTTTTTTTTTTTTTCGTATTTAGTTCTGGAATGCTTGCGGGTCTATTTTATACGCGTACTGCACCTCAAAAAGTAGCAGAAAAGCCAAAGGTGAATGACAATTTTACTGTAGAGAATCCAAATGGAGGAAATAATAAAGGTAATGTGCTCACGAGCTCTGAATATTCACGTCCTCGAAGTGGCAATGATTTTGTAGAAAATACCTCTAAGTCTGTTCAACAACAACAACAACAACAACGAGAACAACAAAAACAACCTCAAATGGGAAAGTTTATTTCATCGACAGATGTTTTTGCTATAGAAAAGGAAGATTCAAGATCATCTTCAATAAAAAAACAACGTAAACCAGAATTGACTTTGGATTTTGAGGTATTGGTGGATAAACTAAAGGCTATCTTATGCGGTTGGTTAGTTCGAAAACGTATGAAAAGTAATTTTGCTCTTGATTTGGTAAAAAAGATAAAGAGTTTAGATTATGGGAATTCTGGTGAAAGTGACTTTCACAACTTAGAGATGAATTCGTCTTTTAGAAAATCATTTTACGTCGATCAACTTTTATCATACCTTCAGAATGGAATAAAAACACTCATAAATGATGACATGAAGTATAGAATCAAGAATAAAAAATTTAATTTATCGTATAAAGAAAGCCATGATGTCAAAAAGAATTCTTCAACCTCACAAAAAAGCCAAGGATTGGATTTTGCCATTTACTCATCTGACGAAACTAAACAAAGAAAAGAGGATCTTCTTTATGCTCTAAAAGAATCTACAGGTTTGAAGGATTCTTCCATCTTTTCTTTACTGGGAAATATTACTCCTAACTTTCTTGAGGAGAGAAGGTCCGTTTTTCTTCAAACAATTTTCTCTCCAGAAGAAAGTAGAGAGTATTTTACCCCTATTCCTAGATTTAATGCTATGAAGGGATTTGACTATTTAGATGTTAATCGTTCATTTACTTCTATGTACGGTGGAGGATATCATACAGTAATAAAACGCTTAGAGCAATCCTCTCTTGGTGTGTAGTGGTAATACGGTTTTCTTGCTTTCTTTTTGTTTTTTGAATGTTTTTTTTTTTTTTTTTTAGTTTTTTTCGGTTAAACGGTATATATATATATATATATTTTTCTATGAGTAGTCGGAGTTTTAAATATATTTATGTTAAGTTTTGCTTTGGATTTCTTTCTTTCTTTTTGTTTTTGAAGTTTTTTTTTTAGGTCATATGAGACGGTTTCTAACCGTTTTTTTGAAGGAAGCAGGAATAAGAAGAAGTCTTGTCTTACCGTGGAATTCATCGCTTCCACCGAAAGAAGATTCTCGTTGGGAAGGTGTGGGTAAGTCAGTTATTAATCAAGCATTGTCTTCGGATACTGGACGATTTGCATTTGAAGAATGTGGTATTGCACGGCAACAATTAGAAATATTAATTCAGTCTGCAGGATATGATGCTAATGTGTATGTATTTGGAGGTTTGGTGGTTTTGGGATTATTAGAAGTTGGAGGAGATGTGGATTTTGTAGGGGTTGCAGATGTTGAACCTGGATTTGAAGAAGCTGGAGAAATTGTTTCGCGTTTATCAAGAGAAATGCGACGACTTGGTATGAAAAGTAATGCTTTACCAAGGGCTCGAGTTCCTGTTATAAAGGTTGATCGAGTCAGTAAATCTCTTCCTGGTACTCCACTTCATCATTTGGCAGCATGTGGATTGTTTCAATTTACACGGCAATTAAATAATGATGAAACAGTTGCTTTCAGTAAAAGGATGCAAGAGAATTATGGAGCTACCAGTGTTGATTGGAATAATACTCAACAATTTGCAACAATTGAATTTAATAGTACTTCTGATCTTATTGTTGCATTAACACAAGTAAAACGTCATGAAGGAGTTGATATTCCTCTTCGTTTACCTGTTGATTCACGTAATGGACCAGAACTTTATAGGTTACCTTTTGATTTTTGTTTTTCTTCTATTGGTTTAAGAAATTCATATTTATTACGTGATGCTCTTTCACATTATGAATTTTCTAGACATCTTTTGCTTTTGTTAAAAAAATGGGGTCGTTCAAGTGGGGTTATAAACTCGATTGATGGACTTTTGGCAAGTTATGCAATAACTGTTATGTGTGTCCATTTTTTAATAAAGGTGGGTATTCTACCTAGAGTATCGACACTACGCTCAGCAGATGAGCCTCAACTTCTTCCATTTTTTCCAGAATATCGTGCCCTTCATGATGGTAAAGGTTGTGATATTGCAGAACTTGGATTTTTAACAGCAGCTTTTTTTGAATATTATGGTCACATTTTCGATTATGAAAAAAATGTTGTATGTACAACTAATATGAACCTTCTAAAGAAAACGATGCGTTGGGAAAAGTCTCCTGGATTAGAGAGTGGTCGTCCTCCTTTTTTTGAATTTGCTATCAAAGATCCTTATGGTCTTGATAATATTGGAAGAAATCTTGATCGAGAGTCTACATATTACGTTAAAGAAGCTCATGTTGCCGCTTTAAAAACCTTACTTGAGGAACGTAACGATCCTGAGTTTATTATCAATACTATTACACAATCTCCTCCACGACCACAGAGGAGACATCGTACATTAGCTTCAAGAGGTATAGCTTCTACAACTTTCCCTTCTGACCAACTGGAGGCCCGTCATATGCTTAAGAAAATGGAGTTTCATGAACGCCGAAAATCAATGGAAAGGTTTGGTCAACGAACTGCAAAACGTACAGAACAACAACGTGTTGTATCAACTGTAACTAAAGATGTCCTTGGATGGATACGTAGCGATGAAAATTAGTAAATTAAACACAGAGAAAAAAAAAATACACTGAACCTATCGAGGGTTTTTTTTTCCCCTTCTGTATCTTTATGTGTTTTCACTACTCATTCTTTCTTTCTATTATTACTATTATTATTATTTTTATTTTATTTTTTTGTTTGAACAGGGATATTGGATAGTACTAATAATTTTTTCTTTTCTTTCTGTGAGGGAGTCCCCTCTTTTTTTTTTTTATTTATTCTTTAGCTCTACTGTAGTGTAAAGTGTAAGATGATTGACTCCTTGAAAAATATACACTGGTATCCTCCTCTTGAGCTAGTAACATGTGATGAATCAAAGTCATCTGAGCATCTTGCTCCTTGGCTTGAATTCAGTGAGGTATTCCCTGGTTTTTTTCTAACATGTGAAGAAACTGTGTGTAACCGTGTAACTGCACAAGAAAAAGGAATTGCTCTCGTTTTAACCTTAAATGGAGAAAGTCACTCAGCACCTTTCCGAGTTTATGAATACGCAGACGATGTTCAACGTTGCGTTTATCGTAAGTTACCCTCTTTGGATGTCTTCCTATCTCAACTTGATGAATATACTTCTGTAGCTATACCTGAAGATTTTCAAAAACGAAAGGTTTTTATACGTTCTGTTTGTGCAGAAGACTCACCAATGTACGATATAAGTTCTCATTTTGTTGAAATGTGTGTATTAATTGAATTAGTAATGTTTAATCGAAAAAAACTATCGATTGATTCTACTTATTTACCCGCATTAACTGTTCACTGTCAAATGGGTGTTAGTCGTTCTACAGCTATAGTTTTAGCATATATGATGAAACGTTCTCAATATTCTAGGGATGATGCCCTCTCTATGGTTAAAAAGGTACGAGCAGTGGCAAATCCCAATCCAGGCTTTCAATCTCAACTTTCTCAATGGGAGAAAAGTGGTTACTATCGAGTTGTAGATGATGTTTCAGCTTTTCTTGTTGCAAATGAGTTAAATGATCCTTACCGACTTAAAATGTTTCTAGAAAAATATCTTTCGCTTATAGTTCGTCAAAATAAATTGTCATCAGATAGGGAATATTCAGGTATTATTTTATCGAAGGCAAATCTTTCAGATGATGATCTTCGTTTTATTATTTCAGGTTTTTGTAGCCATATTACTTTATCAATAGCTGATGAAGTCTATTTTGATGTTCCCACATTTTTTGATAATGTTTGCGAGATGATGACAAGTTTTATTCACAACGTACCAACCACCTTGGGATACATTATAAAAGAAAATGTTGAAAGTTTTGAAGATGCTTTTTATTTTGAAATGTTTAAAACATTAAGTGAGGCCGGATTTGCAATATTTCCTTCAGATATGGCTAGTGCATTTTGCTCTTTTTTAGAAGCTATTGACTGTAAACATTTTTCAAGGAATGAATCAAAACGACCTCGAATAATCGATTCTACAGGCAAAGTAATTGGTATAGCTCCTGAAGGAATGAGTCTTTCATTTACTTTTTTACCATTTTTAGCTCCATATGCTGTGGGCTTTATTCAACAACATCGTTTAGAATCATTTGTGGGAAAAAATTTGAGTACGGAACAGATGGAAGACATCTTATATAAAGTTTTAACTACGTTCCGGGAAAATTTTTTATTGACTTCTTCAGGTACAGGACTATATTTGGATGATACATCTACTGAAAGTCGATGGCATGCAGGGTCACGACTTCGATTTTTAGAGTTTGATATGGAAGTTCAAATAATGGAAAGTGTGGAGGAGGGTTTAACATTATCAGAAGCGGCGAATCGTTTTATGCAGTTAGATAAGATTGATTCACATGTTATATTGCATTGGGTTCGAAAACTTACAGGTGCACTGATAGGCGTGCGATTCTTTTGTGATGCTGTTGATAGCTATTTTAATGAACATATTGCGAAATTGTCATTGGATACAAATAATTATTCAATTGCGAATAAAATAGCTCCATGGAAGGAGTTATTGGAAATAATAGAGGAAGTAACTGCGGTTTACACAAAGAAATATGGAAGTTTACCTGATCTTTTTGTGTGGATTAAGAAAGAATTAGAACCTTTGGTTTCAAAGGGTATAGTTGCGTTTCCTCAAGAGTTGTACTAGAATTCCATATATATATATATACAATTTTTTTTTTCTACTTGACCCTTGCTTTTACTCTGGTTGCAAACTCTTCTAATAGCAGTTTTTTTTTATTATTGTTTTAACTACTAGAATATAACGCTTTTACTTTTTTTTTCTATTTGTTTTCTTCGTTTCCAATGCCACTGTTAAAATCACGCGTAAGTTTTGTTTTTTTTTTTCTTTAGGATTGCTGAAGAATGGCTGATGCATTTGATGAGTTGACTCGTCAGTACCTGAAGCGTCACTATGATATATTTGATCGAGACAAAATTGGACGTGTACCTCTTAGTGAACTTGTCACACTTGTGAGGATTTGTGGTGGTACACCAACGGAAGCGGAAATAGAACCTTTAAAAGCTGAAGCTGATCAAGATGGACGTGGTTCGATGAATTTTGATGGTTTTTGTCGTGCTATGATGTCTGCTTTTAAAAATATGAGGACAGCAAGAAAACTTAAGGAGGCGTTTCAAGGGATAGATCCAGAAGGAAAAGGGCTACTTTCTCAGCATGAACTTCGTTACTTTTTAACTACACAAGGGGATTGCCTAACCACTGAGGAAATGAACGAGTTTGTAGAGGAAATGAGGACTGAGATGGATATGGAAGGTAATTTTGTGTATTCAGACATGGTGTATAAAATGACCCCTGAAATGTTTCGTTAATCATGTTTTTTCTTTCTTTTAATTTTTTTTTTTTTCCCATTGGTACTAATGGCACTTTGTACAGAAGATGTAAGTCATGGAAGCATTATTGAAATGCTATTTATCTAAATAAATTCTTTTCTTTAAATATTTTCTGTATCCTTACTGCTCCTTTTATCAAAGGTAATTTATGTTTTGTAATGGATTTTTACTCTTTTGTTTTCTTTCTTTCTTTCTTTCTTTCTTTCTGTGTGTTTGTTTCTATTATTATTCGTTCTTGTGTAGAAGTGTAAATGGCGTGTGTACCTGTGATATTAGAAGACACATTTACTGTCACCGCCCTCAATCCAGATGGCGTTGTCTACCTTAGGGTGTCACGAATTCAGTGCAAGAATGAGCGTGGAAATCTCACAATAACATCTGATATTAACACAGAAGAGTTTCCGGTAAGTATTGGTGATCGTTTGACCATTATGTTGGCTAATTCCATTGAATTATCTGGACAATCGGGTACGAAGTACTACGATCAAAGTGTATATCATCGGGAGACACGATTACAAGATTGTGACTACGCTATGCATGGTCGCGTTTATGGCCATGAAGTGGATGAAAGTAGTTTGGAGGTTAAAGTACACATCAGTTGTGGCGGATTGTTGACGCAGGTTATTGGAAGTCCTCAAAGTCTGCGGGACATCCACTATAATAGTGATGTCTACATTTTGATTAAACGTGCAGGGAAATAAGAATACGGAAGCTTCTTATTTTATTTGTTTTCGTTTCCTCTGGACTACCTTCATAAGAAGTTGAAAAGAAAAAAAAAAAGATATTAAAATATTTATTATTATCCGAATCTTTTTTTTTTTTGTTCTTATCACCCCACTGTGTTCTGGATTGTTTTGAGAGTAATGTTTTTTTTTTTTTTATTTCTTTCTTTGGATTGTTTCATTTATCCTGTTTTTATCCGTCTCTTTTTTTTTTTTTTTAAAATCATTATTTCCTTGTTTTGTAAGAGAGAAGAAGAAGAAGGAGGAGGAAAAATTTTTCACCCAGCTGTGGTTGTAGAGAGATATATTGATATGATACGCTCCCATGAAAAGGCTCTTATTTCTTCTGGAATAACAATATTAAACTATCATCGTTGGTTTGTTGATGATGCAAGAAAACACTACAAGCGCCGTTCATCTGATCCTCAAACTGTAAGAGAAATTGGTAACTTTCAGAGAGATCTTAAGTTTGGAAAGCAACGACCTCTTCCAGACGTTCCATGGTTACAGGATAAACAACGAACTTACATGGATGATGCGGAACGATTGTATGGACGAAAAGAAACATGGTGTAATATTGAAGATGAAACAGTACGTGAGAAGTTAGCATCTTTACTACAAGATTATTTAAAAGATTTGATTGAGGCTGCAAAACTTGAAGTTCGTAATGCGCGAAAATACAAGAGATTGTGTGATCGAATGGATGCTGAGTATCGTGCTAATGTATCAGCAGGAGCTTTTTCTTCTTCACAGCTTTTGCGTTCATGGGTGTTAGTCAAATCTGAAAAGGATGGAGAGAGAAATAAACCACAGTTATCATTAAATTCTAGTCAAGAAGTTTTTTCATCTAAGGATGGTTTTACAGAAGATTCCTTAATAGATAATAATAATAACGATGAAAACGAAAAACAAGAGAGTAGAAGTGAACGTATTGCTCGGGAAAAGTTTGTAGAAGCACGTCGTAGAAAAGGAGAGGAAGCGAACCTTGAAAATACCCCTGCTACAATGGATTTATTAAAAGGGGAGAGACAACATACATCTTACTCTGCGTTTCCGTTTCTACGTCAAAGGGCATTGGAGAATGAAACCTCTCTGGATCCCTCTTTGGTGGATTGGACCGCCAAATACTTCCCTGAAGATGATGATCGTACGTTTAAATCTCCTCCAAAACTACGGAACGATAATAATCATAATAATAATAATAATAATAATAATAATAATGGAAACCAAGATAATACAGAGAATGAAGGATCTATAGCTAGTAATTCTTCTTTATCCACGAGTAAGTCAGAAAAACACTCTGAGTTTCCTTCTAATAAACTAAATGCACGTCGCCGACTGCAACGGTCATTAAGAGTTCATGAAGATGGACGTCGTCCTACATTTGATGCAGAAGGCGTCTTTTATCGTGTTCGCCGTCAAAGCAACGAAGATGACCGTGCACCAAAACCACGCGCAGTTCGTGCTTCTGATGCAACTGTTGATAGGGATAAAGAAGTTGTGAAAGTCCCTTGGGATACACTAGCAAAGGCTAAAGAGTTAGGTTATTCAGCAGATATCCTGCGTGCTAAAGAACGACTCATTCGTCTTTCAAGAGGTGAAGATCCACAGACTATTCCTTGATTAATTCCCTATGGATGTACTTTTCTCCTCTCATCCCCAATCTTCATTTTCCTCAAAGAACTGCATCTTGTGGGTTAATCTTTCTTGTGTGAGTTTTTTTTTTTTTTTTTACAACCACTGAAGAGGATGAAGAAAAAAAAAAAAAAAAACATAAAAAAGAAACACGTCTTATTTGGAAATGGAGATTAAAAGAAAGATCTTGTGGAATGTATTCCTTTTTCTTTTCAAATCACTGCTTGTATATAAAAAGGGAAAAGACTTTTTGAGGTTTCCATATATGGTACCGACGCAACTCAGAGGGTGTGTTCTTAAGTATAGTGCAGATCGTGGTGTTGGCTTTATCAAACCTCTTCTTCAGGGTACAACTACTATCTGTTGTTGTGGAGGTGATTCATTCTTAATTCGACCAACAGATCAATTTTTATTTTCCGTTGGGGATATACCTGCGAAGAATTGGTGTCAAATGTCATTATCTACAGAGGTCGGTAAAAGAAGCACAAAAATGATTCCTCTTCTTTCCGTGGGGGACATTTTGCTTTTTAAACTGCGGCGAGAAAAATTTCAAACAGGTGACTTCAAATCAGATCCTTACAAATCATTTCGGTGTGTAGACGTAAGGATAGATGAATCAACATCTCAACATTTTTCACATTACTTGCTTGAGTCAAAGTGGTTGGATTGGAGAAAAGAAGAAAAAAGGTTGCTTAACATGCTTGAGGAGATACCAAGTAAAGAGCACTTTATTCTTGAAGGAACCCAAGTGGACTCTGTTAGCGGAATTCCTATCAACTTTTGATGTAGTAAAGGGCTGAGTTTTTCTTTTGTTTTTTATTGTGGTTGTTCCTATTTGTTATCCTCATTATGTTTTCTTGGACTAGTCACAGAGTATTTGTAAAAAAAAAAAAAAGAAAAAAAAATCGTGAATAAATGTATTTTTAGAAAATAAACTTTTTTTTTCTTTTTATTGTTTTTTTGCTACAGCCTACACTACATGCATTTTTTTTTTTTTTTCCTTTTTTTGGCCGTTGCTATTTTTTTTTTTTTTTTTCAAGTAAACAGCCCCTAAAGCATAGTTTTCTTCTTTGTAAGGGAAGAAAATTAAGAAGCGCAAATAAAATATTTGTCTAGACGAGAAATTTTTTTTAAAACCACATCCTCCGATCCGATTAACGTATCTGTGATGTTTCGCGTTTGCCGTATCAGCTGCATGGCACCGTGTGCCGTGCTGTTCAACAAAGGAAAGGTGATTTCTTGGATGTCGGGCCGCGGCTTCGGTTTCATTGAGGACGACGCCGACAAGAAGCAGCACTTTGTGCACTTCTCCGCCCTCCAGACGGAGACCGGCGGCTTCCGCGCCCTCACGGTGGGGCAGGAGGTGGAGTTCGAGGTGGCCTCGCAGGACGGCCGCACGCGGGCGGAGAACGTCACGTCCCCGGGCGGGGCGAAGTTGCCGTCTGGACCGCGGCCCCCGGAGGGGATGGGCCGAGGACGCGGCGGCGGCCGGGGCGGTCGGGGCGGTGGCTTCGGCGGCCGCGGCGGTAACCGCGGCGGTGATGGGCACCACGGTGGCAACAACCAGAGCTTCAGCGACGACTTTTAAACCAGCAGCCCATCTCGACCGGGCAAGAAAATGAAAGTGAGAAGAGATAAAAGAGAAGAGGAAGAGGAAGAGGAGTGGGGGAAGGACAAACGCAAAACAAAAAAAAAATGGGGTGGTGTACGTTGTATGCAACATGGGTTAATAAGCTGTAACGAGCGGTGTGAGTGCCGAGAGCTAGATAAATGATAGCAGGCACCTTGGCCATAGAGCACACCGATGTGAAACGAAGAAAAGGAGACAAAAAAAAGGACGTAGAAACACAACACCTGAAGCCAAACAAACAAAGTGAAAGGGATGAAAAGTAAAAAAAAAAAAAGTGGAAAAGAATCATACATAGAAAATTATGTTTAGTTTGTTTCACATTCTTCAGACGTTGAACACATTGCCCTCCCTCGTACAAAGAGATAAGTCAAAAATACAATTACATGCACAGAGGCTCAGAAAGAGAAAGGAAGACACCCACATGAAATCAGAAAAAGAACAAGAAAGAAAAAACAAAAAAAAAACTAATAAAAAAAAAAGAAAGTCCCTATCACATGTCCTTTTTGATGCCTCTTTAGTAGTTACCTACCAGGGATTGGTATCCCGAAATTTACATGCAATTTCTCATTAACATTAATTTGATGAGGATAAAGACAGGAAAACATAACCTTTGTTTCTTTTGTAAATGACACCACTCTGTTCTCTTTTCTTTTTTTTTTCCTTTTTTTCTACTGCGTTATTTTCTGTATAGTACTGAAGACTAGCGATTATAGGTTCTTCTTTTTTTTTTTTTTCTTTGGACTCAATACAGTTTCAAAAATGACGGAAGGGGGTACACAGGGTGTGGATAACAATATGTGTGCTTGCGCCATGTGTAAGCTTTTGGCCTATTCTGCTGGAGTTTATGGTAATCAACGGAGGGCGTCTAAACACGTCATGATTGCTCGCCCGTCACCATACCATGAGGCAACAGGAGGTCTTCCACCACCGTTATCACCTGTAACTTCAACAGCATTTTTAGGTGAGTTGCATGTTTGTCCTGTATACGAAGAATATGGATTTTGTCCTTTTGGTCGTATTTGTTTTTTACCACATATTGATCGAAAAAAACCTCTGGTAGAATCTACAAATAATGCACAAAAGGAGCTTGAACGACTTATTGAAAAATCACGTTTGGAAGAAGAAAAGGAAATATGGAGTTGTTCAGTATGTGGATTTGATGGAATACAAGAGAGTAGTCAAAGTAAGGTTGGTGAATTATATTACTACCGTCATTGTCCTCGTTGCTCCCTTATGTGTTATTATCCTCATATTACGTACTTAATTGAAGCAGTTTTTGTGGCTGCTGGAGATGATTATCAGGTGTTTAAAAATCTAATTGATAAGTACCGTGATATCTTACCAGATATTTTAAAAGTACCATTAACGTATGAAGCACACCGTGTGGCATCATCCGTCTTTGCATGGAGCTTAGTTTCACCTAAACATGTTAAAGATGCACTAGATGCAGCTTATAAGGCATTACCAGAAATGAGTTGTCTTGTTAGTATTGGTAGTGGTGGAGGTTACATTGAACACGTATTTAATCGTGTGGCAAATGGTGTGCCAGCGGTTCCAAACGGTCCAGATACATCATTGGGTCCTTCTTCTTTTGATAATGTACATGCTTCATTTTACCCAGGCAAAAAACTTCCAATTTATGCTTTTGACGAAGTTGCACTGAATTGTCCATACAGTGTTGCTGTTTCCCTTGGTGGTCCAGCATCTCTTCTTTCTCTTCATTGCCCCAGTGCCGTTCTCCTCCTCTGTTGGCCTCCATTTGGTTCACCACAAGAAGAGCAAAGTTCAATGGGATTTGAAGCTTTAGAATACTTTACACAAGCAGGAGGTAGAATTCTTATTTACATTGGTGATGTGGCTTCAACGGGTGATTGGAGATTTCATGAATATCTCTATACACATTATAAGTTGGTGAAGGGTTATCCTGTTCGTCGTGAAGTGCGTAGGTGGTGTCCACAAGAGATGGGCCTCATTTATGCTGGAAATGATACAATTGGTGTATACGAATTGAGAAAGGAACCCTTATCTTCTCCGGGATGGCAGTGGTGTGGCGTCTCCGTTTGAGGAATTAGAATAAATGAGTTGCTAAGCTGCTTTTTTTTTTGGTGGTGGGGGGTGGGGGATGCTTTTTGTACTCAGTGGTACGGAGATAAGCATATGTAAGAGCATATTAAAGAGATACAATTAAAAAAAGTATACATATATTTTATTTGTGCGTCTCTCTCTCTCTCTCTTGCTACGGTCCATGGAAAATAGTAAACCATTATTCTTCTGAGCGGGGATAATATATGGAGGAATATTCCACCCATCATCGTAGGATTTCAACATGTTGTGCTGACTGAAAAAGAACAAAAAAAAAAAAAACGGGGTGGATGGCGAGGAGAAAAAAGAAAACTAAAATCAAGAGTAAAAAAAAAAACTTAACGTGTTATGAGAGGGAGAAAAATCAGATGATTTAAAAAAACAAAAAAAAAAAAAAGGCTCTCTTTGAGTTAATAAGACCAAGAAAAAAAGAAAGCCATCCATACGAATGGAAAAAAAAAAAAAAAAAACCCATATGTGTTGTAGAAAGCTACATGCGTGGTAGGGACCTCGATTTTGGACTTCTTTTCGAGATGTTTTATTTTTATTTTTTCATTTTGCACACTTTTTCAACATATCTGCGCCTGAGTGTGCATTTGTGTAGATATGTAGATTTTCTATGCTTTTTTTTTTTTCTTTGCTTTCACTTTTTGATGTTTTTATTCTCTCTTGTGGTGTTTTGGTTGACCCCATCTCCGCATTTTTTTTTTTTTTTTGTTTATGCATTTCACTCCGAATAACATTCACAAAAAGAACTACTTACTTGTACATGACGGTATCAAAATCATATTAGGAGAATTCTAAACCGTAGACAGGTTACAAAGAAATTATTATTTCGTATATGTGAATTATTATTAATTTTTTATTTTTAATTTTTGATGAATCAACTGGAGTTATTTGTTGCTAGTTCAGAAAGTGCCAGATCGGATGCTTGGCGTTATCTTCGGCGAATGAGAGAATTAGACTCTCGTATTGAAGAAGACATGAACCGTCTCCGTGAAATTGCACAACTTTTGACGTCTTCAACTTCAAGGCATGAAGTAAAAGAATCGGATAAAGATCATCCAAAACCATTGCGTAAAAATGCCAAACGAGGTCGCCCTCCTCTTTCTAAACACCGTGATCCTCCCAAGGTGGATGTGGTAAACTTGACTGTAGATGAAAATAGCATATCGTCTGATACCTCTGTTATATCTATAGAACCTCATAGGGCTCAAATGCTTGTTGAATATCGTTTATGCCGACGTCGGGTCTTACGACAGGCACTAGAGAGGGAGAAGGTTGCAGAGGAATTAAAGTCGTGTGGGGCTGAGATGTCTGAGTGCCTGGCTGCACGTATGGAACAATTCTCAGAGACATTGCAAAAAACAGGGGGTTTGCCTACAGATGCTTCTTCCTAGTATTTCTTATATATATATATATATATATATATATATATATATATATATATATTTNTATATATATATATATATATATATATATATATATTTTTTTTTCTCTAGTGGAGAGATAAAACTTATTTTTTTTTTTGTTTTTGGTATTCTTCTAGATCTGTATTCAGCAATAGTTTTTCCACTCATATTCATGTTTCTGGAACCTCTTTTTCTTTTCTTTTTCTTTTTTCTTTTCACATCTTGAATAGTACGCGTAAGGTCTATACCTCAGAATATAAGGAAAGAATCAAAGAAATCTTTCTCTCTCTATATTTATATTCTAAGGATTGTGTTTGACCTGGGGAAACAGATTCATGACTACTATTCGGCGAAAGGCACCTCGCCTTTTTTCTGGTGCTGTCTTTCCAGAAGAGACTAGCCGTGGTCTCCTGGAGTTCGCACAGCGCCATAATTTGATGAGTGATGTCTGGGTACCTAAAAGGTTAGTGGAAAAACTAAAGAATGGTGCAAGTATCCTACCTAACGCTATTTTGTGTGATGTCTCACTGATTCCAGGTTGTGGTGTAATAGATCCTGAAGTTATTGGTTTTGATACTGTCTTGGTAAATGCTGCGCACACGACTGATGTGGATTTTTTTGAACGTTATCAAGATAATATCATGTCTGGTGCTTTTAGTCCCTTTCCACTAACATCAAGAGGTGTACCACAACGTGAAAATCTCTGCAAAGAGTTTACTAAATTGGGGAAGAAGAATGATTTTAAAAGTCCCTATTGGGTAAAGCAAAGGAGTAATGATCGTCATAGGGTGAACGCTGAAGAAACCATTTATGCAGGACGTTATAATCCTACAGATTGTATTACGTATGAACCACATACATTTACTAATCAATTATTTCCTCCTGCTATAGCTCTTCTTATGCGTCGAAAAGCCTCTCAATTTGGTTATATATCTCGTACTTGGGTAACAAAAAAGGAAGGAGAATTGCACGGTACGCGTCTTAATACAGAACGTTTAAAAGACGGTCCACCGATATTTACTGCTTATTTCTCAGGTCAAGGAAATGTACAACCTGTAGAATACTTTTGTGCTGATCAGTTTGAAGATTATACTGTATTCCCCACTACACGAGAAATAGATTTAGCAGTTTGTGGTGTTTTTATCGGTGAGAATAAAGTACGTGCTTATCCTTTATTGGCTTCACTAGCAGTTGAGTCTTCTGCAGTTATTAGACACCGTCGAATGGTTGAAGAGACATCAAAGTTTTCATCTCCTCTCTTAATGGGATTATCAAGTAATGTCTCTTTTTTAATGCAGAATATAGAATATAAAGAGAGATTACGAAAATTTTCACTTCTTCATGGATTCTCACAAGCTAATTTTATTCTTCACACTCCAGAGGTTGGACAATATTTACAACTAAAACCACAAGAACAGGGTATAGTCTGTTCTGTAAGTAAAGAATCTGCTAAATTACATTCTTCGAAACAAAAAACTTTTTGTTTTTTTAACGCTGATCAGTTTGAAGAACCTAAAATTGTAGAAGAAATTATAGAGAGGACTCCAACTCATTTTTTTATTCAAATACCACTTTACGGACAGCTATTGGTGGATTGTGCACGTCAGCAGTGTATAAAATCAGGGTATTCTAAAATGTGGATACCAGCTTCTACACTTGAATACTTTGATGATACATGGAAGCCTTTACCAGGTATTGTTGGTGTGCCAGAAGAGCGAACAACATCAGAAATGATAATACCTACTCTTTACAACATTTCTGAGATAAATATTCCTTCTGATGCACTGAAGTGGTGGCCAACATATTTCCCTCGTGATGCTAAAAATAAATTATACTTGGGTGAAGTAAAGATGTTACTCTCAATGCGTGCATGGGAACAGGGTTACACATCCCCTGTTTGGATTACACAAGCGTTGATAACTCAAATGGGGGCGACAAGAAAGCGCTGGAGTCGCCGTAAGACATTTCTCAAGGGGAATCCGTTTTTGAAACCTCCTTCTGTACTTGTAGGTAATGATGAGTATGTAAACTTGGAGGAGATAAAAGATAAGGAACTTTTCACGTTAAACATAAACCATGAGATTGTTGATTTCGTAACGGAAAAGTATGTTTAAAGAAAGAGAAAAAGAGAGGAGGTGTTCTTGTGTGTGTGTGTATGTGAGGATGGGGTGGGGTGGGGAGTTTATTTTAATTAGGGGTACAGGATAAATAATACTATCATGACAGATTTTTTTAGTTTTTGCTAGTTTTTTATTTTGGTTTACTATTTTTTTTTTTTGGATTTCTTCTATGTTTTGTTTTTGTTATTATTTGTTTTTATTATTTTATTTTTTGCACTGGTTTTCATCTCTCTATTTCTCTTTCTCTCGATATATAATTGAATTGCTTTCTTGCGTCTCTTCATGGGGAGTGAGAAAGAGAGAGAGAGTGTGTGTGTGTGGCAAAACGAATGACAAACAATTTTTATATTCATTTTTCAATGTTTATTATTTCATTGTGTTTAATGTTAGTTTTCTTAATATATATAAATGTACGTTATTATTATTATTATTATTATTATTATTATTATTATTATTNTTTTTTTTTTTTTTTCCTCATTTCCTTTCTCTTGTTTTGTGTATATATTTTCTTATCTCTCTACTAGGTTTCGCGGTAGACTTCATGGCACCGCGTCGCAAGCGTGAACGAGAGGAAAACTCGGCTGACCGTGCTCGTGGAAGCGATGAGGAATTTGACGAGGACGAAGAACTCGGTGAGGATCTCTTTGGTGAGAACTACGAGCAGGATTACCTTAACCCAGACAACGACAGCGAGATTGCAGAGGATGAGGTGGCGGATGAGGATTGGATAGATGATAACAGTGATGTCTCTGTTATTTCTGAGGCAGGACGATTGGCGGTTGATGCAATGCTGGATAGACGGAAGGAAATGGAACAACAACTACGTGTTGAGCAGCAACAATTGGAAGAAGGTGTCTTTAGTGATGTGGATGATGAGGACTCTCTCATAAGTGCGGAGGATGATTTTAGTAATGGGGAAACAGGAGGTGAAGGGGCTGGACATAATGGAGATGATGAAAACAATAATGATGATAATGATGGTAATGCGGCAGATGCGAAAGATGATGGAGTATATGTGCGTGGTGATCTTGAGGCAATGGATTTTGACTGGCGTCAACCACAGTGTGATTTAGTAGAGTGGCTTGCACAAGAACTTCCACGACGTGTAGTTAAAAACCGTATTTATAATTTTTATTTAAATTATGTGGAACATGGAGTTAGTGTATATGAACAAAAAGTAAATTTAATGACACGTGAAAATGAAGAAAGTTTTCAACTTAGCTACAGTCATCTTAGTAGAGCTTATGATTCTGTATTAGCTTTATGGCTTGTGGATGTTCCTGATCTTATGATAGAGTTACTTGAAGATGCGGCAAATTACTTTGTTTTTAGACTTTTTCCACATTATAAAAAAGTTCATCGACATATTTTAGTTCGTATTTGTGATTTACCTTTATGTGATCCTATTCGTGATTTTCGTCAAATTCATATGAATGTTTTAGTACGTGTAGAAGGTGTGGTAATTAGACGATCCCCTGTTTATCCTCAAATGCAGGCTGTTCGTTATGATTGTGTACGGTGTAGTTACATTATTGGTCCTATTTACCAACGTGGTGATAAGGAACAACGTGTGAGTATGTGTCCTAGTTGTCATAGTAAAGGTCCTTTTCGTGTTAATATGATTCTTACAGAATATCGTAATCATCAAACTATTATGTTACAAGAATCTCCAGGAAAAGTACCACCTGGAAGATTACCAAGAAGTTTAGAAGTTATTCTTACAAATGATCTTATTGATCGTGCTAACCCTGGAGAAGAAGTAGATGTGACTGGTATATACCGTAATAATTTTGATCCCTTATTAAATAGTCGTCAAGGATTTCCTGTTTTTACCACAGTCTTACATGCGAATAATGTAATACGTCGAAGTGCAGAAGTAGGGAATTTTAGACTTCCAGATGATGAGAGAACTCGTATTTTAGAACTCTCTAAACATCCAAATATTAAACGAAAGTTATTACATTCTATTGCTCCAAGTATTCATGGACGTGAAGATATTAAACTTGGTCTTCTTCTTGCCATGCTTGGAGGTGTACCAAAAGATGTAGGTGGAGATCAATCCCATCGTATTCGTGGTGATATTAATGTTTTATTGGTTGGAGATCCAGGATGTGCTAAATCTCAATTTTTAAAATTTGTAGAAAAAACAGCCAATCGTGCCGTATTTACTACAGGAAGAGGTTCAACTGCTGTGGGTTTAACAGCATCTGTACATAAGGATAGTATTACTGGAGATTTTGTATTAGAAGGAGGAGCTCTTGTTATTGCTGATCGTGGTAGTTGTCTTATTGATGAGTTTGATAAAATGTCAGATCAAGACCGTACATCTATTCATGAAGCTATGGAACAACAAACAATATCCGTTGCTCGTGGAGGTATTGTTACCACATTATCGGCTAGATGTAGTATTCTCGCAGCAGCCAATCCCATTGGTGGACGATATGATCCTTCTTTATCATTTGATGCGAATGTAAATCTTACAACTCCTATCTTATCTCGTTTTGATCTTCTCTTTGTCGTACGAGATGAAGTGAATGTGGAATTAGATGAAAAGTTAGCAACATTTGTTTGTCATTCGCATATTCGAAATCATCCACGATCACAAGAAGAGAATAAACGTTCGGAAAGAGAGTTACATGAACAGTTATCTAAACTTCGACATAAGTTAGAAAATACAACAACAGAAAATGAACGTCTTTCTGTTGAACAGCAATTACAAACATTACGTCAAAGTGTAATGAATAAACCAGCACAAGAAGATGATGATCCTTCCAGTAGCAAACCTCTACCACAGTCATTGCTGAGAAAGTACATTATGTACGCTAAGGCACACTGTCATCCACGTGTTTCTAATATTGATGCTAACACGATTGCACGACTTTACACAGAATTACGGCAGGAATCTAAACATGGAGGTGTGGCCATTACGGTACGACATATGGAGTCTATTATACGTTTATCAGAGGCACACGCCAGAGTGCATCTTCGTGATTTTGTACGGGATGAAGATGTAAGTGCTGCCATTTCCCTCTTTCTACGTTGTTTTATTCAAACCCAAAAATACAGTCAGCGTAGTTCAATGGAAAGTCGATTTCGAAAATACTTTGACTCTGATACAGAACCCCTTCCACTTATTCAACATCATATTAAAGTTGCTATTCATTCTATTCGTAGTTTTGAACGGCAAATGTCTGGTGGAGTGGAGCCTACCAAAGTTCGCATTGATGTTTCTCAACTGGAGCATTGTACCACAAATGTGTCGAAAGAGGCGTTAAATGCCTTCTTTGAGTCCAATGAATTTAAGAAGGATTATACACTCATTCGTGATCCCGTAACGGGGATGCCACTTCAAATAGAACATTCCTTGGTTTGATTCACATTTATTGTTTTTTTTTTTTCTTTTTTTTTGTGTGTTTTTCTTCTTCTTGCTGTGTTTAACATACACACATACACAGTGAAATAGACCTTTTGTTGTTTTTCTGTCTGTCTGTCTGTCTGTGAGTGTGTGTCATTTTTTGTTGATCCACATTTTTTGAAAAAATACCGTCTAAAATAGAAGCATCTTGTGTTTATTGACATCATTATCAGAATAATATGAAGTTAATTAAACTGTTTGTCGTTTTACTATTATTATTATTATTATTATTATTATTATTATTATTATTATTATTAGTTATATATATATATGTTGTACTGCTTGTATTGATGTTTCGTTTCTCTTTTTATGTATTAATATCATTTATATATTTTTTCTTTCTTTCTTTCCTCTTTTACTTTAATGAGAGCAGAGAAAAAAAAAAAAGGAAAGTAATCGTGTTCGATGCTTGCATGACTCGTGCCCCTTCTGGACTCCCCTCTGAGACTGTTCCTAATGTAAACGGCGGCAGTTCACCTCTTAATACTGTGCGTGCACAACATCAATTACGACTGGAACAGCTTCGCACACGCTTGCAGCATCATATACAGAACACCAATTCTTCTACACAATTATCCAACTCATTAGAGTTATCGCCTTCATCCTCAGCAGATACACCCTACATTGCAGAAATCATAGAACTCACACCAACCGATCGTTGTAATTTCAGAAACGTAGACAAATGTATGGTTAATAATAATAACAATAATCATAATAATCATAATGATAGGGCTGATGACAGTGAAATACGTGATTTACTACTTAACCATCCACATCATACATCTAGAGGAAACTACTCACTCAGAATGCCCCCAGTTTCTATTAGTCACCACTCACCAAATAAACAAGTTAATGTTGAGAAGAATATGAAAGTAAAAAGTGATCATGCTGATCTCCTTGCCTCACTGGGATGTGGAACTCACATTTTAGATGACATGAAAAACCTCTCTGAATATAAGGATAGAGATTTATTTCTCTTTCACTTTGAGTGTACTAAATGTTTGGTAAAAGAGTCTATATTTATTGATTCAAACACCCCATGCGTGGCATACTGTCCTTTCTGTGGTTCTATTCAGTCGTAAAGAGACTTCTATGCAGTTTATTTTTTTTTTCTTTTTTTTTTTTAGATATTGTATACCAGATCTTTTTTTTTTTTTTTACCCTTTTTCTCTTCACTACCGTAAAAAGTATAAAAGATATTGTTGTACTTTTCTTTTTTTCTTTCTTTCTTTCTTTTTATCATTTATGTATGTTTTCTTTTTCTTTTTCTTTTTTGTTTTCTTAATTCTCGGTCAAAAATGGGATAGTTTAGGTTCTAACTGTCTCTACAAATACACTCATTTATTAGAGAGAAGAGAAAAATAAGTTTAAGTGGAAATATGAGCCTCTCGCAGATTCTTGCCAATTCCTTCCCTGGTGTATTGGGAGAGTCGGGGAATGTGATCTCTGTCTGTTTTGTGGGAGTTGCTTTGCTGCTTTTGACAGTACTGGTACACTACATATTCACACAGCGTTGTGATGAGAAGAAGAAGAATACACATGAGGGTAACAGCAATGATAAATTAAAGGATAATAATAATAATAATAATAATAATAATAATAATAATAATAATAATAATAATAATAATAATAATAATAATAAGCATGAAAATGAAGAAAAATTACAAACCAAGAAGAATACCGTAGTTGCTAGTTCTACTACAGAAAAAAAATCTGTACAAGAAAAAACATTAGAACCTACCTCTATTATACGTGGTTTCCCTGAAGTAGATGCACTTATTCTTTCACCTTGTCAACGATTTTTATTCATTAATTGCCGCAGCAAGCGACGGGCACGTTTGTATCCACAAAACTCTAATCGAGCTTTTATGTCACGTGGAAAAGAGTTACAAGAAAAATATTTTGTTTCTGTTGACGATGCCGTTATGCAGGCTTCAGGTGATGATGGAAAGATAGAAGTACGTTCTGCGGCCTTTTCATATGATGGTTCTAATTTGGTGGTGGGTGAGAGGAATAGTGATTGTTTTTTTGTATTTTCAATTGGTAATAATTGTCAATTAACACTACAAACACGTTGTAAATTACCCGGCCGTCGACTGGTGTCTACTCTCCCACCATGGGGAGTGGCCGGTGAAAATTCTGAACTTATTGTGATGCTGCATGAGAAGGACTCTGAAGTTGAAGTTTTTAACCTTCACACGGCGGTATTTCTTGGGAAAAAGAAATTTAAAGTGGGAAATGCATTAGCATGGGCACAACAGAATACCACTATTGCAGTAGGTGGTTCATTTCTTCGAGAAGCACGTGTGGCAACACTGCAGGTCCTTTCAGATAGGAATGAGTTTAACCTACAAAGTAGTGTACACGTGGAGAGTGATGTGAAGTTGCGTGTGCTGGCAATAGCACTTACTGCCAAAAATGTTCCTTCATTCAATACATGTGAATATCTTCTCGTTTTTACAGAAGATGGCTGTGGTAAAATCTATAATATTGAGTCAAGTACTGTAAATGCCAAAGTAGAATGCGAACCAACTCTTGTTGGGGAATTTACGGATTCTGCCTTCACAGGGTGGGATCCGGAATCCCCTCTTCAAATGAGTGTATGTACCTATGGTACCTCACATCACGAACGACTTGCTGTGGCGCTTTACCGCGGTGCTGACGTTGTGGTTTATCGCCAATCAACAACAACTACTGCTAATTCTTCTTCTTCTACTGCTACTGCGCTCTTCACATTGGAGCCCGTTATGCGACTGCCTAATTGCCATGAAGGTGATCGTGTGGATCGGGCAGTATTCGTGCAGAACGGTGAGGGTCTCGCTACGAGTGGCGGTGCGGACGGCAGACACGTTCGACTGTGGACACTTCCGCCCATTTCCAACTAGAAATAAAATAAAGGAGAGAATGAAAGTAAAACAAAGCAAAACATGATTACTGGAACATGAGAGAAAAAGAAAAAAAAAAAAAAGCATGAGTTCTGTTTCTCGAATGATCACGGGTTTGATAAAGTGTTGCTTTTATTGTGAGGTGTTGAAGAAGAAAAAAAAAAAAAAAGCCTTTTTTTTCTTATTGTTTTTCTGTTTCTTTTACGTACGAATGAAAAATATCGTTATTTTGGTGGGTACAAAGCAAGAGAAAAAGAGACCTTAAAGTTATTTTGAGTAATCGCTCGGTTGGCCTTTGTAAATTCTTGAGTTGTATTTTGGATGCAAGGAGGAAATTAATTGAATATAATGCGTTTACTTGTTTTCTTTAAAATGCATGTGAAAAACGGAACTTGTTTAAAAAAATTTTTTTTTTTTTTTTAGGCCAACAAATTGTAAACAAAAACATGAGTATCAAAGCCTTTTGATGGAAACTGAATAAAGTTACCAACTCATCTTATTCTTTTTTTTCTTTTATTTGACTGCACGGACAATATAATCCCAAATCTTTTGCATTTACATGTTTTTATTATATTTTCTGTTTGATGTTATTTATTTTTTTACTCTTGTGGTTTTTTTATTTTATTTTATTTCTTTCGATTGGAGGTGAAAAGGGGGGTGGAAGGCTTCGTGGACGATTCGCGCGCAGCTGTCTGACCCCAACTGTGAAGATATATTATCACACGACTTCTGGGGCGGTAAAAAAAAAAAAAAAAAAAAAAAAAACTTAAAGAAAAACATCTTTCTCAGCGTTATTCAAATAAAAAACTACGTTAGTTTGCATAGTTATCACGGGAGAAAGACACCTACAGATATACAGAGACAAACAGAGAGGTAGAGAGAGAGAGAGAGAGAGACAAAGAGAGATATCAGCAGATATGCGGCATTCCAACAAAAAGAATACAAAGTCAAGTCATGTTGGAGCTACGCCGAAGGATTCTCGGAGAAAGCATATATCATTCTCGCGTGATGGTAACAAAGTTCGATTCGTAAAGCCCCCTCCTCGCTCCATGAACCACCAGTACTGGTTTACCGAGACGGAGTCGGTTGTGAAGAAGGGCATCAACTTTGAGGTTGAGCCGTACATCAACGTCTCACTTGAGGTGGGCTGCCGCATGCAACTCACCAGCGTGGTGGCCCCGCCGTCCAGCTCGCCGGACCCCGCCCGGGAGCCCCGCCCGAACCACAAGAAGAGAGAGCGCGAGGAGGAGGAGTCGGGGCGGGTTTTTCTTGAGATCCGGGAGGGGGAGGGGCCCTCGCGGTGGCTGACGGTCGCCTCCGCCGCGGCCGGGGAGGTGTCGACGCTGCGGGTCGTCCTTCCCGCTGGCGTCTACGCCCTCCGCGTGACCGGCGCCCCCCGCTCGCTCCTCGTCTTTGCGCAGGCGTGGGACCTCGAAACGAAACTCGACTAGTGTCTCCACCGAGGAGAAGGAAAGAGAAGGAAAGAGAAAGAGGATGGGGAGGAATGGAAAAGAAAGAAAAAGGGAAGGAGGAATGGTGGTGCTAATTCGTAACGACGTCTAATCGTGGAAGAAAAACTCCTCTGCGGCATGGTGTTGCGAGAGGGTGGTCTTCGAGTGTCGTGTTTTCGCCGCAACATGTGGAGGCGCTCAACCTATATTTTACCTTTTTAACGATATGTTAGACTACGATAAAGAAAGCGGAATCTGTAATTTGAGATGATATTCCTACAAGAGAATGTATTTCTTTTTTTTTTTTTTTTCTTTGCTTTCTTGTCTGTGAGTCTTTAAAATACATAAAAAAAAAGAGTAATCAGAAAAAAACAAGGGGTGAATCCTATACACTAATAAAAAGAAAAAAGGAAAGAAAATCAAACAAGAAATAGAACAAAAACAA